ATTAAAATGTACTCAACATTTAGCAATCTGAAAGCATCAATTTGTGAAAGATTCGAACCGAACTTTAAAAAACAAAATGTGGAAAGAATTCACTCTTATTGGAAATTATAAGTGGATTGATCTGCTACCGGAAGTATTATTATTATATAACAATACTAAACATCGTACAATTAAGATGAAACCCATTGATGTGACTTCAGCCAATGAAAAGCAACTATTTAATACCATTTATAGAAAAATCAAAGTTGTAAAAATAGAAAAGAAGAAAAATAAGTTTAAAATTGGCGATAAAGTTCGAATAAGTAAATATAAAAATTTATTTGAGAAAGGTTACACTCCCAATTGGACCACTGAAATTTTTACCTTCAACAAAGTTGAAAATACTCATCCAGTGACTTATAAATTAAATGACTATCAAAACCAACCGATAGAAGGCGGTTTTTATGAGGATGAATTAACTGGAGTCCAATATCCTGATGTACATTTGGTTGAAAAAGTTCTAAAAAAACGTGGAAATCAAGCATATGTAAAGTGGTTGGGATTCAACAATGAACACAATAGTTGGATAAATTTAAATGATATATGTATAGTTTATTTGAAAAATTAAACTTGTAATTGTGACAAAAAATTTATAATTATGACAATAAGAAACTTATACTTATCAGAAAAATTATAATAGTGATAGTTTAACTTATAAAAGGACAATTAGAACTTATAAAATAACAATTGAGACCTTGAGCTATGACAATTGTAACTTATGACTATGATATTTGTAACTTGTAATTATTTGAATAAAAAAAATAAAAATATAAAAATTACGAATCTGTATTACATTTTTTATAGCCCCATGGTAAAGTATCAGTAGTTTCCTCTAATAATTGTCTTTTATTATCTTCCCAACTTAAGGCTTTTTTTGTTTTCAAAATAGTGCATACTTCATGTTTTTTACTGACAATATGATATTCATTTTTTTTTAAAATGGTATGATGGAACAAACAATTTTTCTAATCATCAATCGTAATCGTTTTAATTGTTGCCTTTTTCACACCTTTTGCTTTCTTTTCCACACCATTGGCTTTCTTTTGATTCTCTTTATTTTGAACTTTAAAACTATACATTTTTGCTCTAAGCCCAATAAATTCAATCATAATTTTTCCATTATTCTCATCTTTCATTAAACCCAGAATTTCTTTATTAACTAACGGAATTCCATAAACATTATTTTCAGGATAATCAGAAGTGTCATATTTCTGAATGTCACGTTTGATATAATCATGTATGTTTACATTAGTAAAATGATAGATTAAGCTATCTGTGTCTGTACATAATAATTTATCATTATTAACTTCCCAGTGGGAAGTTATAGTAATGGGTCCGATTTTGCGAATCGCTAATTTTGACACATCTCCACGTTTTAAGGTCCCCAGAGTTGAATACGATAGTTTTTACGTAGACGTCTGTGTGTGTGTATGTACGTATGTGCGTATGTTCGTATGTTCGTACGTGCGTTCGGAATTATTTTTCGCCTCGATTTTCTCGAGAACAAAAAATGATATCGACGTGGGACCAACTGCATTCGACGCGTAATTACGTAACCTAGAACTGATTAGATTTTCAGCAAAATCAATCTAGCCATTTTTTATGCAGAATCAAAAAACTGAAAAAATAGTGAACTACCTAAATTCTGCAATTTATAAATTATACCATTTTTTAGACGGAATTTCGAGATCTATTGAAAAATATGAATATCAAATGTTTAGAACAATTGTACAGAAATATGATGACAGTATTTCATAGAAAAAAAAATTTTTAGAAAACGAAATCAGCAATAAAAAAATTTTAAACTTGTGTTGGGATGGAGAAAATAGCATTAAAGACGCTATAATAGTCAATAATAATTGTCAATAATATGGAATTGTGTTCATAACAATTGAACATTGTTACTCACAAGTGATTATTGATTATAGTAATATTTAAATAATAAGTTTTAAATTGTTATAAACAATAAAAATAGGGACCCTTTCTATATATATGAGTACTTTTAACGCATAATTTTTTCGTTTACTAAAAAAAATGTTACCAACCGTATGCCATAAATGGAAACATACTCTTTTCGTGTATAACAATGAAATTCGTTGTAAATAATGAAAAAAAGGATCTATGAGGTACATTCGAATTCTTCTAAAGCACAATTTTTTCTTTTACTGAAATAAAGTAACTAACCATATCAAATGAATAAAAACAGACTCATTTCGTTTATAACAATTCCATTTGTTATAAAAAATGGAAACGGGTTCTATTCAAATTGTTTTTTTATTTTTTCCACTTGGAAGTTGGTCGTGTGGACCTTTCGGGTCGCACCCAGACCACTGCAGAGCACTGATATTTTTCAAAAGTTTTCATAATATAATTATAATAAAAATCATAAATAAAAATTTTTGATAAATCAAGTATTGCAAACCCTACATAAATTGGCTTGTTGAACAGTATTTCTAGTTGTTTCATCTCTATAATGACCATAATTTTATCAAATATAATGCGGCTATGAAAGTTGGGTTGTGATATTAGAGTTTGTGCTCCCCATCTTCCCTCCCATCTTGTGATTAATTTTATATCTTTGTAATTACGGACATTTTCCATTGTTTTTCCATAAACAGCATAATCCGTCAGTTTGTAAAAGTTTTTTCCAAAATCATTCTTAGATTGCTTTCTCATATTCGTATTTAAATCTATGTATTTTTTTAACCAAGCTGATTGCTTGAATTGTAAAACTCGATGAATTCTTTTAATTTTTAAACCTAGTTCAACACACTGCGGACCTATACGACGATCTTACAACCCCCTCCCCCTACCGGTATCAGGCGTTTATATCCTCTGACAAAATATCCCCGACAAAATTTCCCTGACAAAATATCCTCAGACTAAATAACTTTGGTACAAAATATCCCCAGATAAAATGTCTACGTGTATAAAAATGTTCTCTAGGATAAAATAAAAACTTTTTGAATATTAACATCAATAATAGAATTTTATTTAATTATTAATTATAAAAAATATTATTTTAATCATTGAGTGTTATAAGAATAAAACTAAATCTAAGAATTAATCACGTAATGAATCATTGGCATAAATCACAGATCAAGTGATATAGTTATTTAAATAATTAAGTTACAACAGTTAAGTGAGAGAGAAACTAAATAATGAGTTTTTAGAATGTTATTGTTTAAACTAAAAGGTAATTAAGTAATAAGTCACCATTAATTCGTGTTGAGAGAAATAATTTTAGCAACATTTTTGAGATATGTAAGTTTATCATCTGGAGTGTAGTGTAATATTACATTTTTGAGTCGTGTATCGTAATCACGATACGCTTTACGGCGTGTAGAAACATTTAACCCGGTATTCAGCTGAGTCATAAGTAATTCCGTCTTCACTTGTTCATTTTTTAGAGCATTTAAAAATTGTGGAATAGAGGCATGAGAAGTAGCGACACGACGGTTTAAACTGTTATGCCATCCTTCTATTGGATTATTCGAACGTAGAAGATCTTCTGTCACTGCTCGGTAGGCGTTCCATAGCTTAATGTCAAATTTAGGTTTTTCTCTTTTTTTTTTATTATGACGAGTCTTGCCAATCCATGTAGTTTCGAAGTAGTTGAGAAATTCATCCAATATATCACTGTGACGGTCATAGTAATCAGTTGAGACAATCCATTCATAACCTTCAATGACATCTCTAGAAGGTATAAAAGCTAACGCTGTGAGTAAATGTATGTTGGTGGCAAATATAATATCGTTATTATATAACTTTTGTAAACCACAAGATTGGATGTGCCGCCACACACATTGATTAAAATGAAAGTTACATCCAGAAATTTTCACGTTTGGATATATTGTCTTGAAAGATTGAATGAAAGCTTCTTCAAAGTCTACAATAATGCGTTGTGGTGAAAAATTCGGTAAATTTGCTCTCAATACTGTCAAAAATTTGGGTGTAAGTGCTTTTAGATTTATCCGGTGATAATATGTAGACAAGTGGTATAGATTTCTCTTTTACATAGCCGTGGATGGAATATAGTTGTGCAAAGATGTGAGGTACACTTTTGAATGTACCATCACCAAGCCAGTGTTGGCATCTTGATAAATAATTTAAGTTTTTTGCTGTTGTGAACATTAAAAAACGTTTCTTGTTCCCACCGCTATCGTGCAGCAAAAATAATTCATTACTGTGTGTTTGTGTGAGGTCAGAAGACAACTGCAAATCACCTCGAGATGATATGACGAGTGGTTGTGGATTATTTTTGAGTCGAATGCGGTTGACAGTCCGAGATAATGATTCTTGTTTAGGCATCAAAGCAGTAACTGGTGATAAGACACCACGTAAGGCACGTGAAACGATAGTTGCTGCTTTTATGTCACTTTTTTTAGCTTTTTTGATAATTTGAGCTTTGATGAGTTTGGTTTTAACGAGAGCCGCGTTTCCCAGCATGGTTATGAGTGGGTGGTGTGCCAATAATATTACCTGATAATGAAAAAATGATAAATATGAAGTGAATGTGGTTTTGCTTAAAATGTGGTGGTTTGCAGTGTAGGTTAAGATATCAATACATTATGTAATTAGGGTGGAAGAAGTAATAAAAAGAAAAATTACCTGTTTTTTGGTCGCTATCGGTGTGAATGATTAGGTTGCAATTGACGTCAGATGCACAACGCCATGAAATATTGGTTTTATTGACTGTTTTTTTTGAATATAACATACCGTCATGTAATAATAGTTTATTCCCTTTTTGGGATAATGTGAATGTTAAGGGCATAGTGGTGTAATAATGGTTTTGAATAATAACAAATATCTTATTGATAGTAACTATGAAATGAATTTTATTATTGTTGAATGTCAAAAATCACAAATAAACTATCACAAAAAGAAATTTTGGAGCAAATAGTAAATGCAAATGGCGGAATGTAGTATGCTAGGACAAAGTACATGAGATGGTGTAACTATATTGATAAAAGAGTGTATCGATGGTCGATATAGTTGGTCGATATCGACCAATAATTTAGTACCGGATAAATGTGATAGAATGTTCGAGTTTAAAAATTCAAAACCACGTGTTTTTAAAGACAATTGGGTTTTTTGTCTTGAGGATAATTAGTCGTGGGGATATTTTGTCTAAGGATATTTTGTCAGGGAAATTTTGTCGGGGATATTTTGTCAACGGATGAAGACGCATGGAACCCCCCCTACCACCCCGTTGATGATAATAACACCCCAATAGTCCTTCCATAAATAACTGAACAGACTAACGTACCTTAAAAACCACGTGAACGTCCCTCGGAAAGTAAAAACAAACCTAAAGTCATTCCGATGACGAAGACAATCACTTTTCGATTAAGAAGCAGAACAAAACAAGATAATGAGACTTCTGAACCAGATTTACAGACTCAAAAAGACGTTAGAAAAGCAACCTCGACGGTAGGGACTAAGAAGGCTAGAAGAGCAACCCCTAGTATAATAGAGCTACCTAGAGTAAAGAATACAGATTCGACAATGATGGAAACTATCCCGGAAGAAAAATCCATAGAGATCGAGTCTCCAAGTAAGTCAACCCCGACTCCTAGCGAGTCTACTCCAATGGATCTAAACCCTGCAACCTCTTTATTAGACACTCAATCTAGCGTTCTATCTCCAATGACTTTTCCTCTATGAGAAACCTGCCCCAGACGTCTTACTTCAGCCTTCATTAAAGAAATAAAATCTTCAATTGCAAAATTTGACCAGAGTATAAAAGACAACCCGCCAACTGACGGTACATTACTTGAGGAAAATGCCGAAGAAGAAGAAATAGACGATGACTTGGACGTAGAACTCTCTGACGACTCTGACATTGACCCAATAGAAGGTGAAACCGACGCCAACTAGCCTTCGAATCACTTACCCATTAAAATTCCTCCCTTTTCACTCGATATTCGGGATGAATTCAACTTTACTCCTTTCCAGGACATGTATTGGGATAAAGGAGCCTATCAGGTTCATGGTTCCCCTGTAGTCCACGACCCTCCACATCCTTTAAAACAAAATAAATTACTCCTCCTCTCCTGGAACCAGGGGGGATCGTAATCTCACATGAGAACACGAGCTTCTCTCCTGAAACCCCAGAGGAAGAAGCACCCTGTCTCACCCCCTACTGAGTCCCTCTCTACCCCGAATTTGTTAAAAATTATTGAGACACGGGATGGACTAACTTACGCTCGCGACAACATAGCACATTTCCTATCAGCAGATTGCGAGTTAATACAACCCGTTTCAAAACTCTTTCAAACTTTGAGATATATCTCAAAAGAGGATCTTAAGGCCGAAAATCCTTCTCCTGGCGACGTTTTTATCACACCTGTGAGAAAGAAGCGTGTGTTTACTGTTTTTATTAAAAAACATCACTTTGATAAAGCCACACTGAAACAGTTTATCGGGTCATTAGAACGCCTGCGAGCTGCGTTAGCAAAATTAAATATCCAGACGCTTCGAATGGCGGCCAACGGCGATGAACTTGGTAAGAACATTAAACGATACGTAATCAAAACATTCGAGCATTGCCCTATGAAATTTTTCTGACTCAGGAAAAAGTTGAATACCCTGAGGTCAATAAACGTATTGAAATTATAAAAGAAAACCATTGTAGTTTAATAGGTGGGCATAAGGGTGTTGTAAAAACGTACGAAAGAATTCGAGAAAGATTTTATTGGCAAGGCATGGAGGATTTAGTACAAAATTTACCCCCTATGAATTATTATATGGCAGACTCGCACGTGCTCCTACATCTTTTCCTGATTTTTCAGAAATAAATAATTACCCTGAAGCTCTAGAAAAATTAATTCTTCGTTTAATAGAATCGCTTACTTACTATACCTTTTAGCAGTGCTCCCGCTTTCTATGGCGAGCCCTTGTTAACTTGAATCTTTTAACTACCGTCCCGGGATTTACTATGAAGAAAACAATAACATACATCTAGTTAAAAAAACGTGGAAGATCGTTTTAACCCTGGACGTCTCAACGCTTATCACAGCTCACCAACATGATTGGACAACTTTTCAAGAGCAATATGAAAATTGTACAAGACTGTTAAATGATAATTGGTGTCAAAATCTCTTACAACTAGACTCTATTGTCCCTGAGACTCTTCAGAGAAGCCAATTATCAGCTTATCTTCGCCAGCTGATTGAACGTACTCCTTTACACATCCAGAGGAGCAAAAGATCACATTGGTTCGGTGTAATAGGCACTGGTCTTAGGAAACTCTTTGGAACCATGGATTATAATGACTTCGAACACCTTTCTCACGAGATAGACAAAATATATCAAGACCAAGCCAGCATCGTGCATCTAGTCAACAATTCTACCCATATTATCAGAGCAGAAGTCAACACGCTTGTTGACCGGGTCAAAGAAAATAATCACGTAATCAATAATTTAATAAACGACATCAATGATTTGAATGTAGACCTTACGAACTGGAAATCTGTGTACAACTTAGAGCAAAGCCACACTCTGTTTGGAATGAAGTTCTTTAGGACTCTGCAACAACATAACTCGATCATGAGGCAAGTCATTCTAGCTGTGGAAGAAGCCAGGAGAGGAATCCTCAACCCTATTACCATCTCGTCAGCTCAGATGACTCAAGCATTGGCTCACATCGAGCAACAGCATCCAGATTTAAATCCTCCTCAACCATTAAATCATATCAACCTACAAACATTATCTGAAATCTCAGAGGTTTATGACACCCGACTTGGTCAATATTTTGTGACAGTCATCGAGATGCCACTTCTTGATTATCGTCTACTGCCATATAAGATCCCTGAACAACTGGGTAATACTGATTCAGCCCTTACTATCATTTTAACAACAGAGTATATTACACTCTCGGATGATGGAGAGCACTATTTTCACACCACTCAAGACTATTTGGAGGAATGCACGCCAGCTGGGAAAACTATTGCATGTTTTCCGACAAAAATAATTAAATCTTCGAATAACCAGCCCATTAGTGAGGTAGAACTTTTACGTCATCCTTCTAACGATACTCTCAGGAAGTGTAAGATACATTTGACAACTGACACAACGACCACCTGGACCGCATTAGCGAAACAAAACTCTTGGTTATTTTCTACCATTAAACCAAAGAGCTTTCATATCATTTGTAACAATCAGATGATCAAAAACATCGAGTTGACTGGTGCAGGAATCCTTCATCTTAATCCTGGTTGTATTGCTGAAAACCAATATGAGTCAATTTTGAGTCTGAAAGAATATAACTCCAACATCTCCGGCGTCTTACCTTCATTCTCACTCAATTTATTTTCTCTGTCACCCTCTCTTTCTCTATCACCAGACTTATCAGTCTTAGTATTGAACCAAACTAATTCAAAATCTGACAGTTTTGATGTTACAGGTGCGTGGGGGGACAGCTTAGATCAATTGGAAGACGAACTCAATCAGATTTCTCTACATCACCAAGAAATCCAATCCCATAATATCTGGAAGTGGAGCATCACTGGCCTAGGGGGTCTCTCACTCCTCATTGTCGCTTGTTATTTCTTCTATAACAACTTCTATCGCTGCAAACTACTAGCCTCTAAAACCAAGAAGGGCCTGAGACAACGGCGAGGCGCTGAAGTCCCCTTATCGATCATAATCCTTCCTAATGACACACCTGTCTCCAGCACGGTAGCAGAGGGAAAACCGACTGCAGGCACTGAAGATCTGCCTATAGCTACTCCAAGAACAACTGCGGGTATTGTAATTGCCCCGAGTCCAGGTTTTTAAAAACAAAAATTTATATATTACCTAACAAATGCGGATACCTATTGTTTTATTCTATGTTTCTATCAACTATTTGTTTAATCAATTATTTAATGGGAAAAGAATATACATATTTTTGTCTGAGACTAATGAGGAAGTAAGAAAACATTTAAGAATCCATTCAAATTTGACGTCACATTACCTAGTGACACAGTGGATTGTTCTGATGCTTACATTCTTGAGAGTCATATAACTCGCGAGCGTGTAAGGTATCACAACAATACACTCAGTACTAAAACTTTTCTGAGATTAATTCCTCCTTTCTCTCAAATTTTACAATCACATAAGGGTATTTAAATAACCACATCAAATTAATAGTTAGTAATAAGGAAGATTTTACATATTAATATATATATTCACCCAAAGTTTTATACAGCTATACATATATTTTTATCTTTTATTCTA